TGAAGGGTGGGTTGCAAGGTTCAATGGTAGGCACAATATTGTGAAGAGGAAAATTGTTGGTGAAAAACTGAGTGCAGATGAAAGCAGTGTAGAACCATTTAAACATAAATTACGAGAATATATTGTGGCAAATAATATATATTCGTATCAAATTTATAATGCAGATGAAACTGGGTTGTATTGGAGGAGTTTACCAGAAAAAACTCTAGCAATGAGGAGTGAGGGTTGTGTGCCAGGACGTAAGGTTTGCAAGGACAGGCTCTCAGCCATGATGTGTGCGAATGCCGACGGCACAGACAGAATCACGTGTGCAATTGTTGGCAAATCTAAGAAACCAAGAGCCTTGCAACATTGCATGGACAGACTGCCAGTGAAATATTATAACTCAAAAAATGCATGGTTTACACAGATCTTTCTTTCCTGGTTTCATGACGTGTTCTGCAGGGAAGTTCGTGCCTATCAAATTAAGAAACTCAAAATAAGGCCAAGCGAAGTTCGGGCTTTACTGTTGCTTGATAATGCGCCTGCCCACCCCAGAATTGACACGTTAACCTCACATGATGGCAAGATAACGTGTATGGCACTTCCTCCTAACACAACCTCTCTCATTCAGCCTATGGATCAGGGAGTTATCTGTGCTATGAAGAGGCTGTACACCAAAAAAATGCTAAACGAAGTTTTGGTGGTTTTGCCTCTTCCGGAAGATATTGAACTCGGTGTGGATAACAGGGCTAAAAAAAAACTTCAGAATTTGAAGAACTATACAATCAAGGAAGCCATCTATAACTGGGCCAAGGTGTGGAGTGAATTAAAGGAATCGACTTTGAAAAATTCCTGGAAAAAACTCCTGACGTCTACGTTCAGAAATGAGGAAGATGAAGAAATGGATTTTGAAGGATTTACAGATGAAATCCATGGAATGTTTAGAAATGCCGGCGAAAACTTAGAAAGACAGGATGTGGTTGATTGGCTTGAACAAGATGCCAATGATCCAGGATATGGTGTGATGAGTGAAGACGAGATTCTACAGTCTGCTACTGGTGAGGTGGACGAAGAGGATGAAAAAGGCAGTGAAGAACCAACACCAATGACCACGAAATACAGTGTACTCATGACGTATGTTGACGGATTAATAAATTTTTCATCAAATTGTGCTCATCCAGAGGTTGGAAACATGTATCCGTACCTTAGGCGAACAAAAGAGCTCATCATACAACTGGCCAGTGAACACAGAAGGCAAGCAACACTTGATTCATATATGGTACGAAAATCAAACCAAGCGCCTTCAACAAGTGAGGCGGCACGCGCAACCCAAGCGCCTTCAACAAGTGAGGCGGCACGCGCAACCCAAGCGCCTTCAACAAGTGAGGCGGCACACGCAACCCAAGTGCCTTCAACCAGTGAGGCATCCTCAGCAGACAGTGAGAACTAACTTTGCCTAATGAACTGTACAGTAATTTTAAGTGTTAATTTTAGTGTTGTGTTACTATAAGTTACGTAAATTGTCAAGAATTTTTAACTTCAAGATGTGTCATCAATCAAGAAGACGAACAACAAAAATGTAAGTTGAGGTTTTTAGTTGAATATTTAATAATTATATGTGGCATGTCAATTCAAGTTATGTTATTTGTAGTATAAAAATAGTTGGAAATGGTTAGTTTTGGACTCGTAGGTGAAAAAGTACCATTATCCGAAAAACGTGCTAATCCGGCTGGGGGTCCTTCCCATATAGTCCGGATGATCGAGTGGAGACAGTATATATATAACTTGTATTATTTAGCCATGATAGTATTACAGAAGAGCCTGAGTGTGATAATGACTGTACAATGTTCAAATATTAGTGATTCAATGCTGTTCACGATGTTCACAGCGCTAGCCACAGCACCACAGCATTATTTCGTTCATCTAGGAAACTCAAACGACTTCTTAGGTTCCTTTACAAAATAAACTTGCGGTCAATTATGAATTTACAGGATTTAGTGACCAGTATTGTGATAACAGCAGGATTGTGGTGATAATAAGCACTGTGCGTAGTATTGTGGGAGGAGTAATTGTGATGAGGGAGCGAGGGATAGAATCGCGGTAGCCTCACTGTGTGGCAGCCACTCTTGTTTTGCTCATCATACTAGCTTAGTGGTTTGCTATAGTGAACACATATGAACATGGGTATATACAATGTGTACCCACCTAAATGTGCTTGTGGAGGTTGAGCTTTGGCTTTTTGGTCCCGCCTCTCAACTGTCAATCAACTGGTGTACAGATTCCTGAGCCTACTGGGCTCTATCATATCTACATTTGAAACTGTGTATGGAGCCAGCTTCCACCACATCACTTCCTAATGCATTCCATTTATTAACTACTCTGACACCGAAAAAATTCTTTCTAACGTCTCTGTGGCTCATCTGGGTACTAAGTTTCCACCTGTGTCCCCTTGTTCGTGTCCCACCCATGCTGAAGTGTTTGTCTTTGTCCACCCTGTCAATTCCCCTGAGAATTTTGTAGGTGGTTATCATGTCTCCCCTTACTTTTCTGTTTTCCAGGGATGTGAGGTTCAGCACCTTTAGCCTTTCCTCGTAGCTCATTCCTCTCAGTTCCGGGACGAGCTTGGTGGCATACCTCTGAATCTTCTCTAACATCTTCTCTAACTGCTGAATCTTCTCTGTGTGTGTGTACCCATGTACATATGTGCATAGTATTGTGGGAGGAGTAATTGTGGTGAGGGAGCGAGGGAGAGAATCGAGGTAGCCTCACTGTGTGGCAGCCACTCTTGTTTTGCTCATTATACTAGCTTAGTAGTTCACTATGGTGAACACATTTGTACATGGGTATATACAATGTGTGTATATAGTGTAGTAACAGCAACAGGAGTATGTTGGGAGGAGCTATTTGGTAAGAGAGGTGACGTAATAGTAGCGTCGTCTGCTGGCTGCTGTGTGATTTCTCATACAGTGTATGGTGGCCACTGTAAAGTTTGGACACAATACTGGCTTACTTGCATAGTTCTGGTGAATAAAACATATAGATAGGTATACATAACATGTGTAAATAGTGTAATACAAACAATAACAGTATGGTGGGAGGAGCAATGTTGGCAAGTAAGATGTTGGAGGAGTGAGGGAGAGACTGAATGTTGGAGGAGTGTGTGGCAGCTGACACTCACGGAGTTCTGAGTGTGTTCATGGTGAATGTATATAGTGTGTGATAGTGTACAGTGTGTAAATAAATTGTATATATACATAAATTAGCATAATACGATGGAAATATGTGCCGGAAATGTGTTCACATGTGTCATGTACGTAACACAGGGTCTTCGGACAGTACGGATGTTCTACTGCCATAATATAGTGCACGTTTTCATTATACATAGGATTTGCACATAAAAGCATATAAAATATATTTGGAACTGTGCGCAGAAAATGAGCAAAAATATATTTGCGGCAACTCACGCATCCTGCCCGAGCATCCTACCGGCCCTGGGGGCGTATGCCATAGGCGACCAGGGAATGACAACGTCACGCACGAACTTACGAACCCCATAGCAGCTAAAGTACTTACAATTTCGACCTTCTGTTACTATACCCTTACTCAGTGAAGGGTTTTTGACACTATAAAACCAGAAATGATTTTTTACCAGAGATTTTATTTCTTGCACACTGGGGGGGTGTCATATTTGGAGGCCGTGCAGTTAAGGGGTTAAATACTCTTGAATGGATAGTGGCAGCACTTCTTCTAATCTTCCTTCTAACTCTTTCCATCCACTAACCTCTCCCTTCTATCTACACTTTATCTATTAATTCATGCTAGCCCTTCTTACTAACTCTTTCCACTCATCTTCCTCTACTTCCACTGTCCCTTTCTCTAAGTCTACCCCCCATCCCATTTTCTTGATCATTAAATTTCCCTTTCACCTGACAACTCTTTCCTTCACTCTCCACCCCTCACTCCTCACTCTTGCAATTTTCTTACTTTTTTTCTAATACATTACAGAAACAAAATATTTTCTGCACCCTCACAAGGCACAGAAGCAACATATTAGGCATTCATGGGAACACTAGCGATATCACTCTCCATCCAGAGCCTTGCATGCCAATCAAATTGCTACGAACTACTAGATACAAGTTTGATTCAAAATATGTCTTCCCATGGATTGAAACATGAAAATCTCACTGGAGATTTCTTTGGTACTTTATAGTCTTCACAGTTAGCATCAGGCAAGAGAACCCTGAAATGAAGTAATCATTAAAGCCTGAGTTACACAAGGTGATTGCCAAACATTCTACGAAAGAATTGTAAAGCATTGGTCCCTACACGTGGACAAAGTCCTAAGGAGAGCCAATTTTGGTTTTAGCCAGGATACCAGAAAGCTGTGTTAATGCCTATGTCAGACGAAATGTGACGTGACCCTTTTCCACTGGGCCTTGGATGGGTAGGGATTCAATCTGGTGATGGCAGCGGATAGTGGATTAGTGGCTAATGACTGTCAGGCTAGTTTAAAATTTTGTTTAGTGATTATGTACTGCCAAACAATGCTTGGAGACAGGTTGCATGTACTGAATGGTACACTATTTTCATAGTGATACGCCTCAGTAGTGGGTGTATCTTTGACCTCTACAAGCTCCCCGTTCCAATGAAGACAAAGACATTTTGCAAAGGGTAGTTGTCTTCAGTAGGCTATAAGAGCATCACCAGGAGCCTGCTGTGTTTGTAAGTGCTGCTTGTGCTGGTGAAATACGCTCAGAAAAGCAGAGTGATCTTGCCCAGAAAGATGAGTGAATGTGGGAATGAGTGATCAGGAAAACAAATTATGGATGTTGCTAGAATATCCGTAGGTCATTTGAAGGTGTCAATTACTGAAGAAGAGAAGAGAGTAACAGATGGACAGACCTCACTGTAGGAAAATCTATTAACTTCAACTAAATGTATACAGTATTAAGTGAAATGACACACTGTTCTATGTCATATGGTAAATGAAATATGGAATACAGGCAGTGAAAACTTACGTAAAAAGTAGAAAGTGGTATTCCATTATCAATGTCAACATTGGGGAGTACGAATGACTCGAGCTCCAGCTCCCCAGTCTTGGCCTCACACACCATAACCTGTTAGGACAGAAATTAGGAAAACAGTGATATATGACAAGATGATGATTAAATATAAATTTACTTGCACAATGAAATCACATTAACGTGATGTATCAGGGAGAAAATCAGTAGGAGCCTTGAGGAGGATTCCAACACACTCACTTGGTACTCCCATGATAGCGCCCTCAACCACTATGTCATGACACCATCAACACCAATACAACTAGGATTTTCTAATAAATTTACAATTTTGTTAAAATACAAAAATATTTTTAGTAGTTATAATACAGTATTTTATAATAGTTTCCAATACAATGGAAACAATTTTGTTTTACAGGGGTACCTCGGTTTAAGAATTTAATCTGTTCCTTGAGACGGTTCATAACCCAAAAATTCATAAAGCGAAGCTGAATTTCCCCCATAAGAAATAATGGGAAATGAATTAATCCGTTCCTGAGTCCCCAAAAACTTCACTTCAAAATAAATTTTATACCTAATTCACCCAAATCTACTCTACAAAACTATGTTCAAGTTATTACTTACCCTTAATTATTTTAAAAGTTTTATTACCCTTAATTACTTAAAAAGGGAGCCGGTCGGCCGAACGGACAGCACGCTGAACTTGTGATCCTGTGGTCCTGGGTTCGATCCCAGACGCCGGCGAGAAACAATGGGCAGAGTTTCTTTCACCCTATGCCTCTGTTACCTAGCAGTAAAATAGGTACCTGGGTGTTAGTCAGTTGTCACGGGCTGCTTCCTGGGGGTGGAGGCCTGGTTGAGGACCGGGCCGTGGGGACACTAAAGCCCCGAAATCATCTCAAGATAACCTCAAGATAACGAGGAGATGCTCGAAAATTTGAGTTTCGTCCTTGATAGTTGTTCTGACTGATTAGTCGTTAATGCAAGAGATGTGTTCTGCCTTGTTTCTCTTTTCTCAGAGGACTTGATTATCTACAACTTCATTTGTAAGGTAATGAATTGCCTCTTCCTTGGCACCAGTTCATCAGCCATTATCATGGGTATTTTTTCCTTGATAAGCAGCTGAAATAATCCACACAAAGCAGTATGGGTTAACATTTGTCATGAGAGTACTGCTGACTGGGCAGCGTGGTTTGGCCCCACGGCACCCGCAGGTCACGTGGAGGTATAAGGATGACTCAATGCAGTTATGTAGACATAAGGATGACTCCATACAGCTGTGTAGACATAAGGATGACTCCCTGCAGCTGTGTAGACATAAAAGTATGACCGATTGTGTGTTATGGGGCGACAAAGAAGGTTTGCATAGTCGATTGAAATGCTAAAATTGGGACATGGGAGGGTGTTTGTATGATTGGATGTTCCTAAATTGTGGATGATTGAAGTAACCTTCCAGAGTTGTGTTGAAACCACTAAAAGTTATAAGACTGTATGATAAAATATACAGGGAAGACAGGGCAGAAAGCACAGTTTATTACTAGTAAGTTATTCTCACTCTGACATTATGGCTTGTTTGACACCTCATCTTGGTCATGAGGTGTTCAAATAGGAGGTATATAACTACTTATGACACACATAATACCTGATATTGCATACCTTAAAAAAGTGAGTCGGAACTGCAACGTGATTTTGTCCTATCACTTGATATTTAACGTACAATTTCCCGTCATCCTCTCGTCTGAAATAAATAAACCAATTACTGTATTACATTAAATCTAAAATCTGCTTAAATCTGCTTATTACTTCATAGACTATCTATTTTCAGTACCAACAGATAACTTTTGCAAAAGAATATAGCAATATCATTATACATCTTATGCTAAATTCACTAGGCTTTTATGTATTTTACATTGACATGCTTTAACAAGAACTATTAATGATTTAGAAGTACAACCTGGGCAAGTACAGTGGCCCAGTACAGAGGTAGACATTTTCATACTGCCTCGCCTTTTTTCTGCAATACTTTTCAAGCTCATTCCATTTGTCTCGGTTAAATCCTTTTCCTACCTGTAAATGAAGCATATAAAAATAATTACTATTCTGAGTAAAACTATTCCAGCTACAGATACTAGAAATTAATAGAAAATGGTCACATCAGTCATAGCTAAATTCTGTTAGGCATGCCAGGGACCAGAGCCAGAACCTGGTCCCCTCACTAAAAAAATTCTCCAAATAGTCAGTGCAGCTATACAGACAACTGTTAGGTTCACAGAAAACAAAGCCTCAAAAACCACTTAACAACTACCACAAATGAGTCACACAGAACAAGTGATTCATTTAAACAAGCTTGAGACTCATTATTACCGATTACCACCACTATGAGACCTGGCCTCGGCTCCTAACTGGCTCCCTAAGTCAGTTCTGGACCTGATGAACAACCTCACAATGAACCAATGAACCTGGAGGATGGGAAGGGGGGCAGGGAGCCTCCAGAAAATGGCATTTCATTACATTCAATGCTCGGACTTAAACAAAGAAAAACCAGGCTGTGGAGCATGGCCCAAGGCCACACACGACTGACTGGGACCAGGAATTCAGTATTGTATTAACCAAATACCTGGCCCTTAGAATGAATACCTGGCCATTAGAATGCCAAAACCTCTGGGCTTCAACATCACTCTCGGACATATTAGAAAAGACAGTGGCCAAAGTTACATACAGTGGGGCCTCGACTTATGATGGTAATCTGTTCCCAGAGACCTGGGAACAGATTAAGTCGAAATATCGTAAGTCGAAGAGATTTTTCCCCATAAGAAATAAAGGGAATTGAATTAATCCATTCCCCACCCTCCAAAATATTAACTTACAAATACATTTTATACTGAATACAATGTTTTTTTTCTAACTACAATACAGTACATGTTTATCTTACCTTGATGGAAGACTCATGATGCGTATGGAAGATGGTGATGAGGGGGAAGGAGGAGAGGTGTTACTGTTTGGAAGGGGAGTCCCCTTCCACTATAACATCAGGCAGTGATGACTTCTCTGGGGTACACGCTCTCTTACGTTTTGCCTGCATACCACTAGGACCTGGTTGTGATTCACTGCTTGTTTGTCTCACTAAAAACCTTTCCAGAGATTTTTGTTTTTCCATGTTTTAATTTTTGTCTATAGTGAAGCATCACAATGTCATTAAAAAGGTTAAGGCAACGGCCTACTGCCACGTGATTTGGGCGAGTTGTTTCAGCAAAAGTTTGCAATTCTTCCCATGCTGTACACATTTTCTTAATTAATGAGGAAGGGACATTATGTACAGTCTCCTCCTCCCCTGAAGAAATTTCCTCAGCTGTCTCTTGTTGCTGCTCCTTGTGAGGTTCTTCGGTGGTCAGTTCTTCGCTGTGTTCCTCCACCAGCTCCCAACATACAATACTCAGAATACTATGAATGCCACTTCTTTTTCTAAATTTCTCAAACCATCCCCTGCTTGCCATAAACTCTTACGCATTTGCATCACTCGTTCCAGGAGTTTTCTTTAAAAGGTTTTCATGCAATTTCCTTGCTTTTTCACAAATGATGGCCTCTGAAACTCTATCACCCGCTAACTCCTTGCTGTGTATCCAAATTAATAATAACTGTTCAACATCCTCAAGTGTTTGTGTTCTATGTTTCGTGATTACTGATACGCCTTTTGCCACTTTAGCATTCATAATGTCCTTTTTCTTAGCCAGTATGGTGGATATTATTGACCGAGATTTGTTGTACTGCCTAGCTAGATCAACAACCCACACACCATCTTCATATTTATGAATGATCTCATGTTTTTGCTCTATGGTCATCCATACATGGGTTTTCATATGTTGAACCTTACCACTGACTTTCTTGTAACCCATGGTGTGATATATAATAATTACTTTAATGTTCAAAAAGCAAAAAATCACCACAAAACATTATTTCTTATAGGCGTGATCGTCACTAAGCGGGCAGCTGTAGTAAACTGAGGCAGGTCGGCCTGCGTGACCGGGAATCATGTGCTCGGTCGACCCGAATGTGTTCCAACAAATGTCGTTAGTCAACGACACCATCGTATGTCAAGTCGCATTTTTTTATTAAATTTACATCCTAACTCGAAATTATCATAAGTCGGGGCAATCGTAAGTTGAGGTGCCACTGTATTTATGAAGATCATGGGGTTTGAGGGTAGACTGCAGGCATGCTACACTTAAGGGGCCCAGTGCAAAATTTATCAGCCATTTATCAACCTTCCTCAAACACACTCAATTTTTTTGTGAATAATCTACATGGTAAATGCTTCAACTTTTCCTAATGGATCAACATCATAATGTGAACAGAAAATAAAATAAAAAATAAAATATTAACAAAAATGAAAAATTTCACAATTTCAAATTAGAGTATCTTATTTAAAATGTCACCTATTTTTATTTTATTCATTATGGGCTCAGAATGGCATGTTGCAACCCGTTCTCGCACTTTCTATAAGTCAATATTGACTTATTAAATACGTGCATATGTGACATACTAATTTATTGTGAATATTTTAGTTTACCTTGAAAAGTTTTATAGAAAACACCGACCTTACCTAACCTTCTTAGTTTGTTAAGATAAGCATCTTATTGCTTTGTAATTACAATTATTACTTAACCTATACCTATAATAGGTATAGGTTAAGAAAGTGCGAGAACGAGTTGCATATAATGTTCATTTTCTATTACAGTGGCACCTCGACTTACGATTGCCCCGACTTACGATAATTTCAAGTTATGATGTAAATTTTATCGAAAAATGCGACTCGACTTACGATAGTGTCGTCGACTAATAATATTTGTTGGCGCACGTGTGGATCGACTGAGCGCGTGGTTCCCGGTCACGCGAGCCGACCTGCCTCGGTTTACTATAGCTGCCCGCTAAGGGACGATCACGCCTATAAGAAATTTTGTTTTTGTGGTGATTTTTTGCTTTTTGAACATAAAACTGATTATTATATATCATGCCATGAGTCCCAAGAAAGTCAGTGGTAAGGTTCAACCTAAGAAAATAGTTGTGAGTAGAGGCAGTAGAGGATGTCCCTTCCGCATTATAAAAATGTGTGAAGTATGGGAAGAACTGCAGTTTTGTTGAAAAAACTCACTTAGATAAAGCTGCAGCAGGCCATTGCATTGACCTTTAAATGACAATGTGATGTCTTACTATAGTCAAGTGTTAAAACGTAGGGAAAAACAAGTGTCTTTATACAGATTCTTAGTATGACAAGCAAGCAAAGAGCCACAAGCAGGTCCTAGTGGTATGCAGGCAAAATGTGCCAGAGGGTGTATCGCAGAAAAGTCATCACTGCCTGATGTTATAATGGAGTTATAATGGGGACTCCCCTTCCAAACAGTAACACCTCTCCTACTCCCCCCTCCTCACCATCTTCCATACACCATCAAGAGTCCTCCATAAAGGCAAGATAAACATATGTACTGTATTGTAGTTAGAGAAAAAATTGTATTCAGTATAAAATATATTTTCAAATTAATATTTCGGAGGGTGGGGAACAGATTAATTCAATTCCCTTTATTTCTTATGGGAAAAATTGCTTCGACTTATGATATTTCGACTTACGATACGTCTCTGGGAACGGATTACCATCATAAATCGAGGCCCCCACTGTATATAACATTTAGTTTATGAATATAGTTTACTGTAAAAAACCAGCGTTGAATGTAATGAAACACTATTTTCTGGGTGAGACCCGGAGGCTCCCCAGAGCTATCTGGGCTGATATGGAGTACTGTATTAGCTTTTGGCATCAATGTACATGGAGTTCTAGGCCTACCGGGGTCCAATGAGCCAGAACCTTGCCCCTTCAGAGAGGCACGAGGAGAAATTGCCTATAGAGACACCTTATATATAATTTAGAAGTACAGTACTCTATGTCTGCCATCGGGTTTATGGGTTGGGCACCCATAAAGATGGGCACCCATAAAGATAGGCGCCCCAAAACACCTTCCCTCGTTCTGGTTAAGAATTGCTACCAAAGCCGAACAAGTGGATAGAACTCCCCATGAAGAAAAACAAGCAAACGAGCATGATGTCATCTCGTTACCAATGCTCTGCCGTCTGCGCAACCCTATCCCCTTCCCTCCCTGGGAGGGGGAAGGAGCCTCAGACCCTTCGCCAGCTACCGAAGCCTGCCAGTTCTTAGCTTGGGTAGCTTAGCTTATCAGGGTGAAAGAAACTCTGCCTATTTGTTTCCGTCTCCCCCGGGGATCGAACCCGGAACTTTAGGACTACGAATCTTGAGCGCTATCCACTCAGCCGTCAGGCCACTTCCCCAAATGAAGGGAAGGCAAAGCACAGTGGTACCAGTGTTGGAAACATGTTTCAGAGGAAACAAATTATGTTCAACATTTATGCTTGCGAATAAGCACAGTTGATAAAACCAGCTTTGAAGGTAATAAAGTGCCATTTTTCTGGGTGAGCCCTGGAAGCTCCCTGAACCCTGAAGCTATCCGAACTGATATGTGCGCTATATTAGTTTTGGGTCATCAGTCACAGGAGTTCTTATGCCCACCAGGAACCACGAGCCAAAACTTGGTCTCCTTAGAGGCGAAGGGAGCAATGGCCTATGAGCACTTTACATTTAAAGTACTCTATTAGCTCGCTAGTCCAGACGATATGGGAAAGACTTCCTGACTAGATGGGCCCATTTTCCAGACTAAAGGATATTTGAATAGGAAAGTCCAAAAGTAAACATTTCCAAAAATGTTTCTACCACAACCAACATAATTTGAATTGCCACATATAATTATAAAATATTCAAGTATTGTACAGAATTTTAATTAATTTCAAATAAAAACCTTAACTTATCTTGTTGTAATTCATCTTCTTTATTGATGCTACACTTCTTGAAGTTAAGAATTCTTGACAATTTCATAACCTATTCTAATACAAAACTTAAATTAACACTTAAAATTACTATACAGTATATGAGCTTGGCAAGGTCAGTTTTGACTGCCAGCTGCCGAAGCCTCACTGGTTGAAGGCTCTTGGCTTGGTCCCTGAGA